CGCGCGCGCGCGCTGCACAATCTCGATCAACGCCGTCGAAAATCTTTGATCCAATTTTAGAGCCATCGCTCTCCACGGCCGTCGTAATCCCTTTTCTGCTCTGGAAGCGCGATATAGGTGCGCGCAGCTCGCTGCTGCAACTGTCTGCGCGTATAAATTTGCCGGACACACACTCTCGACGGCCATTGGAGGAATCGCTTCCTGTTTCCTCCGGACCGAGTGGAACGAAGACATTGATAGCTCGCTTAGAGAGAAGCACGCCGGCAGCCTCCAGGACGGAGGCTGCCAACCCCTCGCCTGTCAACCATTCTGTTCGGATCATTAATCCTCCATCAATATTATAGAAAAAAAATACAAATAAAAAATGTCCGCAGTCTCCTCTTTTAATAAATTCTCAATATAATCATAATGCAATCTTACGTTAGAATTTATTCGCTTTCATAACATCAGCAGTTTAAGTTTTGATATAAATTGGAATAATCAATATAAGTTGAATAAATTTCTGCAAAATTTTGCGCTGATGCACTTATATACATTCTAATTAAAATCGTTGAAGTTTTGCTAAGAGAAATTATATTCATAAGATAAATTGTTAATAATTGTTACAACAGCGCTGCGATAATATGTTTTTTAAATTTTGCTGAGAAAAAAATATTTATAAAAAAAAAAACATTTCATTTCACTCTGCAACATCGATTCTCGAATATGATCTTCGTCCAGTCGATAGACGTTACGATACGGTTCGCAGCACGCTAAGATAGAACCGCTTCTCGCGGGTGGTAATTCAAAGACGAACTCCAATGGAGAAATTATTATGTAATCTTTCCCTTCTGAAACGGATATCAGTTGTAACTGTAGTTACTGTAACGTGCTCTGTCACGTATAATGGAAAGTTCAGGTATTCCCTTGCCTGGCGATGCCTGAAGGCTACGATAATTTTACGGCTCATTTGCATAATGCCGTCGGCCAGTAACGTGAATCACTTTGATAAGCTCAATAGTAATGGTTTACGTTCTCGCTCTCTCTCTCCCCCCGTCTCCCCCCCGCACGTATGTCTCTACGTTCGATTGTGCTGAGATCTCTGCGGGGAGTTTCGATTTACTGTTCGGCCGTGCCCGACCGGCTACACCGCAATTCAATTTTTCGGCATTCGTTATGACATAAAATAGAATATAGACAAAGGGTGTTTCAGAGTTACCACGAATATTCGACCGTATCCGGCGACAAAGGAAATTAAAAGCGCGTCATTGTTATTGGAAAAACGAAGTACGTGACTACGTCAAGTACTTGAGCGACACGACGCTTTGAAAAGACGTCGCGAAACTCTCTGAAAAGTATTTCAATCCTTCGGACAACTCTTATAAATATCTCGCGGATGTCTTTTGAACTTTTGCGCGTTATTCCAGTATACAGTTCCAAATACCTATTCAATAAACCGATGCCGCGTTTTAATTATTAAACAAATCCGTTATTCTCGCCGTCTGCAGACTGAGACCGTTCTTAAATGCGCACTTATCTCTTATATGGATCGTACAGTTATTTTAATGCTTTCGGAAAACAACAATATATTCCCACGTCGTGGGCGCGTAAAAGTTCAGTCAGTATCGGGATATCGAGTTTAATAACGTGCGTGCAATTAAGTTTGACGTTTTAAAGGTGACGCAAGACACGCTGCGCGAGGATGTATATATGTCACCGTTTCTGCGCATAGGGTATATATAATAACACTGACTCTCTCCTCTCTGTAACTTCAACGGAACGTTACGACGTTCTTGCGGTGTGTCTCCACCGCCCGCCCGAGACGAACTCGAGTTTGGCAAATTGGCTTCTCGACTTACAATCAACCGCATTCCACAAACGTGTTACACGTCCGCTCGATATCTATAATTCTCTGGCATACAATGCTTGTCGAGAAAGAGAGAGAGAGAGAGAGCGAGAGAGACATCGGACTATCAATGTCCGGATAGCATTTACATATTATGCAACTGTATCGCGCGGATCGATGCACTTAAGAAATTCGAGCGAATTCACCTCGACACGAGATCGATTCTCTCTCGCGCGCGCACGTCCTGTCTCCTTCAGCGGCAGCGATGATCAGAGTAAATTACGGAATAGCGCGGGGCGAAAATAATCGTCTATATAGAGCGCGATACGAAATCCGACATTGATGTAAAAAAAGCAATTTGTATTTCCACGTCTCTCATTGTGCGGATGAATTATCGACCCCGTTCATTTCAGCCCGATAAATATTACCTCTTTTACCGCTTCAATGAAAATATCTCTTTCAAATAAATTCTGATTTCATCGATATTTTCGAAACACGGTTTATTACAAAAAGCCGTAATTTATACAGTTTCTATCGCCGACTACATAACAAGTGAATTTTGCGAATAAATAAAGACAAAACTTTTCGTTCGAAATTGCGGATTCAGAGGAGCGAGTGCAGTTACAACAATACACATCCCGGAGGATCCGCTCGAAACTTGCTACGTTGTAATGTTGCAGCTGTTGTAATTAGCCTTCGTTCAATGGTAACATGCGGAAATCACGGCAGAGATCGAAAAACATACACGGGCAAGTCGACAAACGCAGTCAGAAGAGAGTCAGTCGGCCACTCGCAAATAACCTGTCGCTTAAAAATTCAATTTTCCGTGACGTTCGTAAGAAAGTTCCGTGCTCCCTCGATGAAATTTCCCGGACACCTCGTTCCTCGATCCTCGGGGCCAGAGGTGGCGCATCGGAGGATGAAAGTCACCCGGAAGAGGCGAGGAAACGCCGTTGGGAAACGAGGGAAATTTGTTCTGCTAATTCGGGGGGCGATGTTTATTCTCCCAAAGAGCTAACAGCCGGCAGAACCGAGACGCGTTAATTACAGAGCATGTCTAATTCGGTTTGTAGTTTTTCCGAGGTCTAACGGTGTGTGTCGCGAAATTATATCAGAGTTTTTTACTTATATGCAAATACATAAAGTTATCAACTCACTTCCGCCGAGAGCTCGATAATTTATCTCAATATTTAACTTCATCGTCAGTTCCTTTATGTAAAATACTAATAAATTAATTAGTTCCAAGTAAAATAATCTCCTAAATGAACTGTCCTAAAGCACACGTTATCGAAAACGTGATTTTATTTCTTCTACAAATTTTCAATAATATAAACTGAGTAAACTGATGCGCTCTTAATTTCTAACAGAATTTCTGTTTGAAATGCAATTTCGCGATGCAGGAAAATACCGTAAATAGAATTTCCTTTGCATCGGCAATGTGTCTGTATATATGTAACATTATGGCCTCATATTATTCATCATTCCTGGACGTGGCAAAATTTCAGGTAATTTATATACGGTTTACTCTCGTGAAGCGTGTTTATGACGAACGAGTGAATTTCCGCTACATGTCCGACACGACGTTCGATCGATATCTCCTTTAAGGAATGCTCTAAATAGTAAATTTTTCACTGCTTGAAAAGAAGATCTCTTCGTTATCGAGAAAAATGTTGAATCGCAATTCGCAAATTGCTCGACAAAGCAGAGGGGCAGCAGTTTGATATAAGAACAACTTGAAATTCTCGATTTCAACAATCGAATCGTTCGTTGCTCCTACCGACTGTTCTCCATTTAATGCAATTCAGCATACATATAGCGAATTATGAATAACTCGGTATGTCGATAGAGTTCGCTCTGAAATTATTGGCAGAATGCCTTTCGCCGAACGATCTCGGGCGATCTGGTTTAAAGCGCTTTATTCATGAGTCCATTCATTGCATGGAAATCAACTGGAATGCGATAGCGGTCCGCGGTATTTAAGAATACCGGAATACACGAGAAACGATGCTATATTACCTTTCGGTAATCCCTAGGGCGGTAACTACGTTCGGAATTCGTCTTATCACGCAAAATGTCACGATAACATGACTTTCTTTTTTCTTTCTCTTCAGCGACGGCGTTCCTTTTCTTTACCAAGAGAAAGAGAACACGAATATAGTCGAGGTCTGAACTTTTTTATATGTTCTGCAAATTATTTTAGATCTCGCGACGGATTAACTCCTTAACCGAGACTACACCGCGAAATATTGTAAATTAATTATCGAATATACTAAAGAACAAACTTGTATTATAGTTAAATAAAAAAAAAACTAGCACGTTCGACTCGTTAATAAACCACATCCTGTAAAAGCTGGTTAGCTTGAAGCTCATTAAATCGCAATATTCCGTCGAAAATTGGGTCTCCTTTACAGTATTTTATTCGTGATACACATTTCGATATAATCGCGTCCGCGTTCGCGCGCGCGCACGTATGTATGTGTGGAAAACAATACGTCCGTGTCGGTGTGGCCCATTTTACCGGCACACACGCGCTTTGTTCGAATGAGCGACAGGGTGTCGTTGCACCGCTTTAAGTTTATTTGGGCCATCAGGAAATAGCAAAAAAATATTCGTTCATCCACCGCGCGCTAGATTACACTCGCGGAACTCTATTTAGATGCTCGGAATGTATTTGTGCACTTGCACCTTGTAATAATCGGCTTTAAATTCTGATTATCAACGTAATCATCTATTTCATTCAATCGCTAAATTACCGAGCGTTGACGTAAATTGAGGAATTTATTCGAAAAGGAGCACGCAAACGACTATATTCGCATGGATTCATTTAAAGCTATAGTAAAATTATATCCTTTCCGTTTTCTATTTTATATAATTTTATTTTCAAAGAATTTGATCTCTTTTCTCAAATTATTTATCTTTCATAATATCTTCTTTAATATATACGGCATAATACTTTTAGGACTTTTTTAGCTTTTTTTCGCAATACTATTATTATTTTCTTTTTATACCAAATTATTGGTATAACCCTTCATAAAATAATTTACAAAAACAAAATCACGACTGACGCGATTAAGCAACAGTTGACGCAAAATATCTCGTCCGCGACGCTCGGTCGTCTCCAGACTCTCATGGAAAAAAGCTGGCGCAATAATAATAAATATAAGATTGTACTCACCTGTCTGATGCGAGAGGAACGTTATCAGGGATAGCACGGCGCGCAGCCATCCTCCTCGATGATCCTTCATACTGGATATTTCTGCGAGCGGTATCGAACGGCTCCTTTCTTACTCTCCTCCGCGAACGGCGGTGACAACGACAATGGCAACGACAACAACGCTGACGACGACGACGACGACGACGACGACGACGACGACGAAACTGATCTCGTTGTGTCACACTCGCCGCTCTTTTATTGACAGTTACTCACTGCAGCATCCCGGCACTGAACAACATCCGTGAACGACGTGCATATCACCGTCATTCTCTCTCGTAACTAATCGCGCACACCACTTGTTTGTCGCCTCGCGGTACATCACATGTCGACCAGGTCGACCCCGATAAGGTCCGACATTTGCTCCCCGCGGCGACAATCGTCAACTGTCGGTCGATTATCGTTTCCCGGTGATAACTGCGGTCACGCACACAAACTTCTCTATAGTTTTTTTTTCGAGATAATTCTTTGAATCGCGCAAATCTCTGTGACAATCGTTCTTTCTGTGATCCTCCTCTTGCGAATATTCAAACGAATCGACAGGCTATCAATGCCCGAATGCTTTGATAAGGACCGTCATGCTCTAATGGTCGTCGACGAACAATGCCCGGTCTCTTGCTTCTCTTTTCGCGGAGTACGTTGTATGAAAATTGTTTCTTTTTCCCTCCTTTTCAAGAAAACTCATGAATAATCTCCTTTCGAATCTTCAAATTTCTGCCATTTCGTTTCCGTAACGATTTTCTCTTCCTGTCAAGATGCGCAATACTCCGTTGTACTCGCGAGTCGGATTTTCACGCGTGCGTCGATGCTCGAGTGCTCAAATCACGAAACGACGTCATCGCAAAGTGCACGTCGCGGAATTTCATTTGCCAACACTCCGCTTTTCCCGACCGTACAAGTTCGTGACGCGCGGTTGAAGATTATTGTCAGTTTAACGAAGCACACACGGCACCGCCCGCATTCTGGCTCGCTCCCGCGGAATTGTCGTGAGCAAGGTTGAAACGAGGTTGACTTTCGAGGCGAATTTGGAACGACTTTGAGAACACCCACGTGTTTCCCCCTCGCGAGATCCCTATATTTTAAAGATTCTCGTGTACCCGCGCGTGGAAATTCTTCGGCACCACGCCGCGAAGTTCATGCAACTTTGTTGTGTGCTCCGGTAATTAGGACTATCCCGAGAAAATTTACCCGCTGTTACGCTTTTATTCATTCGAGTTACGTGCCATTCTTCAAGTCCGTGTAACGATACCCAAGAGATCGTCCGACTTTTCCGAACTCACATTGAAAGTAATTAATTACCACGAGGCATGCGCGTCTTTCGTACTTTAGATACTACGTTAATTACCTCTCTTCCGATTTACTTCTTAATTGCCCGTACGCTACGATTTATGCACTCTCTGGCACCATATCCTCCCCGAGCCTCTAACACGAGTTCTGTTTGATGTGGCGTGTCAATATGGAAAGACCCCTTTTTTCGATTCACATCGAACGAGCTTTGAATCACGATGAGACGCCTCGTGACGCGTTAAACTACTCGATTTCGAAGTACCGACAAATATTTACCAAATCCGACACTATTCCGAATCGTTTTCGCAATTGACGTCACGGAAATCGGTCGGTGGTTCGCAAAAAAAAAAAAATGTAAGAAAATCCGCACACTTTCTCGAGCACACTCGTGTAGCACACGCGCGATCACTTTATCTCGGATAACACACTTGTTCCTAATTTCCAATTAGCCCTCGTCGCAAGTTCTTCTGGGGAGCAAGCATTCCAATCAACTCGACGAGATCGATGCCACTGAATCCAGCGTCGTATAATTGACACAAGGCGTTTCTCGAGATCTGTACGAGGCACTAAGAATGATCCAGCGCTTTTCGCTTCACACCTCGGGACGTCGACCCTCTCGATAGAATTGCATTATTTATCAGACACGCTACGTGCCTCGCGCGGCGTTTTACGACCCGGCATTATCGATTGTCCGAACGACCAGCCCAGGTACACGCTTTAATTCACCGACGAGCGCATCGTTTATGCGGCAGCCTCTACGGCCGCGGCAGCCGGCCTCGCGAAAATTCGCAAGACATAGAATAAATCTGCTCCCAGCAGGCGATCCTTTGATCATCCGAGGATTAAGGGCAATCGAGCGGGATTCTCCTTCTCTCCTCTCCTCCGGCGGATCTCCGCCGTCATGTAGAATCACAGTTTCAGATTTCCGCAGATTTGTTGCCGCGCGCGCGTGATTGAAGCAGCTCCTCCCGCGCGCACGTAAGCTGAATCTAGTGCGCGAAGTTTAAAGCTCCCTTCGAGGAGCTCACGTCAATGATTTGATCGATCTGAGATGAGGACAGGCTGCGGTTTTAGACGGCCTTCTAATCCGGGCTTAAGAAACCTTCGTCTTCGGTTGGCAGCGTGTCATCGCGTTCCCTTCCATGAGTCGCGCTCCATTAACCCGAAGCAGGGATGTACATTTAATCGCCGGTTAATCTTGAATCTCCAATTTCATGAAATTTCTTTCACCGTCACTCACATTTCATTGTGTGAACGTTACCGTGTCATAGAAAATGGCAGCTCCTTCGTATTTTCAGCGTTCTGCAACAAATAAAAAATCGCTCGTATTAAACATACAGTCGATCAAATTCGATCTAATGATTATTTATAACAAATTGTTCTCATATTACGTTACTTATTAACATATGATTAATGCATATATATTTATATTAATGCAATCGTAGAATTTCTTTCGCTTAATCAGACAATAAATGAAAAAATCAGACAAATAATTAGAAATAAAATTGTAAATATTATATGAAATAACCGGGGAAGAAATTATTTAATTAGTCATAAATTACAATTAAAAATACGAGAGCTTATTTCGATAAATCCTATTTGTTAAAGTTCAGCAATAATGAATTTATAGGCTGATAGAAACCCATGTTAACGCATGACGAAAGTCCAGCGTAGGGTATTTAAACGAATCTCGACAGTTAGAATGTGGGTACAAATCCCAAGATAGTTAAGGCGTCTTAAGCATCTTGTATGTATTCGTCCAATTCTGCACGAACGAGATGTAATTGGGTCTACCGTCCTCCCCTTTCCCCGCGCCCACCCCTCCCCTCCCCTCCTCTCTAACACCCCATCTCTCTCGCGAGCTAACCCGAAGTTCGCAGCCGGGGGAGAGATATACCCGGCGTCGTCTACCAGGTGCACTCCCAAGTCCCCCGGATTAAAGTGCCGGAGCGCGCGAGTGCCGCAGAGTCACTCGTATAACTCGGTAGTTTAAGATTGACCGCGGAGTGACTCGATTACGACATACCTCGGAGCTTCGAAATTCGGTGGATTTTAGGATTTACTACACCCCGCCGGTAATCAGCTGCATCCCCCCGCCCCGAGCTTTTTCCGTTCTATGGTTAATTGGGACAGCTCAGCTGAAATCTAACTAAGCGAATCCCCTCATTTCGATCTCTCTCTCTCTCTCTCTCTCTCTCTCTCTGGGGATTCAGAATCTTATTATAGAAACTCACAAGCGATACTTCATTTAAGACAATACAGGAAAAAAATATATATATAAACTCACGTAAAAATATTATTACACACCAAGAGCCAATTCGACCGAATACTTGTATTATTGTGTTTTCATATCGGTCTATTTCATTTATTATTAAAATATATATTTGTCAAACGGTACGTGTCATTTAGAAACATAAAGTTTAATGAAATGTAAATATAAACCAACGCGACAAATATCTGCATAAAAAAGGTTATAATAATTGGAGCCCATTTATTATTGAATGTTAGCTCACTGAATGTATTTCCGCGCGACTATATTTCACGACACAAATCAAGAATTTATATGAATATATATGAATATATGCGGATACAAATGTGAATATATAACACCGCGGGACGAGCATTGCAGGATTTGTACATCCAATTTCCAGACGACAGGGCTTAATAACCAAGGAACTTCCCCTACGTATGCGTGTTAATTAAAGTACACACGCGTTACCCCGAATTTCTCAAACTTTAACTACTCCTCCGTTGACCGAAAGTTTAAATAGCTCGCTGCACATTCGGTGCTGGTACGAAAGCGAGGAGACGTAGAAAGCATACTGAACCAATGGCGAAAGGGGGGTGGGAGGAGGCGAGAAGAGGAGGGCATGGGCCGTTTGCGTTAGATTTGTAATACAAACATTCACATTTAATATATGCATTCGCGAATACGTTAATTAATACATCATTGTCTGAATGTTGGGAATAATTACGTAGTATCCATAGTTTCAATTAATTGATTGAAATTATTTATTGAGATAGCAAACGATCGTAGAGTTTCGCAAACGAGGTACATTCATCCGTTACGCGAGAGAGCGGATCGAAAGGGGAGACGAGCTGACGAACGATATTTCGACGTTAAGGACGTTAAAGGGGAGATGAGAAAAAGCCAACGGCTACGTCGCTTTGCAGCTCGGGAATTTCTGTCGAACTCATGGGATGAAGCGATATAACGTCTCGCACGGAGGCTAACGGGAAGCGAGAGCTAGTTCGATTACCCGGGAATTGGTCTTTCATCGTCGCTCTAATTCGACGGTTACGTGGCAGATTTTCCAGAAGACTCGCGGCGGCTACAACTTTGCAAGCAGCCAACGATTGCAAACGAGGATCGCGAAAGGGGTATACCGGGATGGAATGCTGCAGCCGACGTCACGTGAAGACGACGAGATTGGATGCCGAGATTGTGTAACTCATCACGGGGATGAAACGAAGATCACAATATTAATTTAAGCGGGATCGAATTAAATGGCGATCTTGCAATCTAGCAGTTTACATAACTCACGAATTTCGTAAACGGTGAGCTTGCCCAACAAATCTATCTTGTTTTGTAATTTGCTCGATAAAGATGCTTCTCAAGAGATTGCTTGAAAATGTGAAAATGAATATGGTAATATATCTTTCCAAAAATGTATGATCATATTTTGCTCATTTCATAAATTGGCAATGTAATTTTAATGGAATTAGCAAATGCTGTGAGATAAAATATCAGTTTTGTTTTCATTGATAAAAGCAAATATAGTACACATTACTTATTTGCAATTATTATGATAATTACAGTAATTAACTGGCGGATGTTTTATTCACGAGAAGATAAAAAGAAACGCGCGGCCAAAACGGACAAATAAATTTTGCGTTAAATATTTCACGATCGTCGTATTTATTGTTGATTGCGACAGAACTTTCGCTTTGCTGTTATGCATACAATTACGACAGAAAAGGATTATAAATAATTTAGCCACCTGCAAATCTGACCATCCGGTCGGTCATGAATATTTAACGACTGTTGCAGGCACGTCGCATGATGCGAAATCTTTTCCGTTTCGTCGCGCCGCGCTATTGCACTTTGCGTTGGTTGACCCCCTTTTTATCCGCAACGCCCACAATTGCCCGAAAAATTGGAGACGGCCCAAACGTTTCCGAATGATAAGTGCACTAACTTTTCACCTTCTCGTAAAAATGATTTCTATCGGCTTATCCGATAAGGCCATCACGTAAATTAATAAGCTGGTTTGCAATTTCGCTAAAAGCTTATCTAATAATATCGAAGTCAAGTAAAGAAAGTGGAAACATCGAGACTTGGCAAGGGGAACGATGATTTCGAATAAATCCCTTCACGCGTACGAAATCGTCCTGAAAAACAAGATACGCGATATCGCAGCACGCAATCCGCCCCTCGTTACAACACTTCGCGAATTATGTCTGCGAAGTGCGAGCTTGCATGTAATCGACGAATGAAGCAATCCTCTCGTGCTGTGTAATCATAAAGTTCGTAACTACCTTTTCGCACGGTCAACTGGAAACTAACCGCTCTCACGCGGTTGCCAAAAACCAAGCCACTATATCGTTAGCACGGATCAGTTCAAAGGGGATCCCCATGTACCTATACGTCTAGGAAAATCCGTCACGCCTCGCTCTATCCCTTTGTCACTATCACGCTTTTCCGATTCTTTGACAGCCTTATCTTTAACATGATTCCGACTGTTGGAAATGATAAAAAACGAAAAAAAAAGTTTTATCTACATGAATCTATTAATATCACGTTTATTATAGCGCATTAAAAATACATTTTAGTTTTTAGAAATTAAAAAAAATCCCTTAAATAAAAGAATAGACTCGTCGAATATTACGATATTCTTTGTATCCGTCAAATATTTATCACAGTCGAAATATTAAAATTTATAAAACCATTATATTACTTTTTGTACAAATATATGTTTAAATTGTCAAAAAGAGGAGAGAGAGAGAGAGAGAGAGAGAGAGAGAGAGAGAGACAAACACAGGTATATAATAAATCTGAGAGACCGGCGAGATATGAATGTATGCGTTTGTTACTTTAATCGCCGGAGATAATAGTGCGGCACGGAATCGCGGTATCCGGACAACGGTATAATGACGGTGCAAATAAGAGCACGGTTTCTCGTTAGTTGCGATTGTAGCTGCGCTGCTGGATGGCCCCAGCGACGAAGTGTCAGTGCTCCGGTACAAAACCGCGACACGTCCGTAATTTCTCGACGCGCTTCCATTTCATTTGTTCCGCGCACGAAATCATTTTACCGCAAAAATATTAATAGTAAAAAACTGATACACGACGGACGACACTCATTTGAACGTTCAACTTCCGGAGATATAAAGCCTTCAGCAGACGCAAATCTTCGATCCACCACGTGGATCTTGCGTTCAACTTTTCGACAGTCTATTCAGCACAATTTCATCTTCGTATTCCGATTGACGAACTCGATTAAGACGCCTATGCTCTCACTGACGAAACTTACGCTCTTGTCAGAACGGGATTCTATAGTCGTGAGACGCGGACCGGATTTAAGTTGCCCGCGATATATAGAGTGTTATCACTACGTGGCGGCTTGCCCGCGACTGAGAGAGCTTTCGGACCAACCCCGTCCGAGTTTCCCGGATCGGCCGCGGTAGCGCTGCGTAACTGAATCCACCCCCGTTTCTCTCTCTCTCCCTCTTCCCTGCCCCCCCCCTCTCTCTCTCTCTTTCACTCGGTCGTCTCTTTGCCCTCTCCCGCCCCTTGTTCGTCTCTCTCTTTCTCGCACCCTCGTGTCCCACCAGCTTCCGTTGCCCCACGACAAAAACAATTGCCTCTCTCCGTTCCCTTCGCGCGCCTCTTCCTCGTCGTACTGTCCGATACGTATCTGCATTCCCTATGTATTAGGTAGTAAAGTGGCTCCACTCTCACCCTCCACCGAGGAAATCTGGAATTCTTGTCGTATTTAAATTAGCGTCTACGGCGACAGTGCTTAATGCCGGGTAAGGGAGGTGTGCGCCTGTTTCGCGCACGACGACACCCCGGAGCACTTTTTCAGTGCAAGGTCGGTAGCTCGGCGAGCGCGATAAAAGAGGCAGAGTCATAGGGTAAATTGTAATTAAAAGTAAATATCACAAGCGAGCCAATTCGCATCGTTTTATTGGCCGTTTAAGAGATATTTGATACGAAATAATCGCTTCAAATATGTATTTTTTTATCTTGATATTAAAAATAATATGTATATTAATATCATTAACATGTATGTCACTTT